CCAACCTATATACTTACCCGACGCCTAACTGGAGCTTGAAAACAGCAAACATGAGAAAACCGAGCAGGTTTCAGACCAGAATGACAATGATGATGACAGGTTCCGGAATACAGACACATTTACCGGCGACGGACACTTACCATATTTGTTGACCTGAAGGGGACATTTGACTCTGTTGACAGCAAGGTGTTGTGGCATTGTCAAACTGCGAAAGGAGTACAGAGAAAGATTGTAACGCCAATCAAAGCGCTCTTCTCGAACCCACATAACCATGCAAAGGCTTATAGAAAGTTTTAATCTGAAACGACGACAGCTAGTAATGTCGAACAAGGATGCTCACTTTCACCTTCACAGCTTCACTTCCTTATAGACGTACTATTGAACGTAACCTTAAGTACCTCTGACTTCGCAAGGATTGGTCGGTTGTTCGGAGGTCATTTGGTTGACTTAGCATACGCAGACGACATATTCGTATAAGGTGGAGAAGCTAATGCAATGCAGGGTCTTCTGAACGCGTTGAGTGGAAATTTAAGTATTGATTGGTAACGGGAGTGCAACCAATTTCATGTTATCTAGTCCTGAGTGCAGACCAAATGTTTGAGATGCGTTTCGCACCCACCAAGTGCTTTAGGACTAGTCTGCTGCAAGTACTCCCAGCTTAATGATCGGCAGTGACATGGTAGAATACGTCAACCCCTTCATCCACCTGTGGAGTTGCATCATCTCAAACGGGTTGGTTGCTGATGAAATTTCAGCTCAGATACAGAAGGCCCGTCGGGCATTTGCGTCACCTGTGGCACCCACTGGCGACTATCAGTCAAAAGAGTTAGTATACTGCTCAGCAGCATGTTTTATCCTATCATACGGCTGGGAGGCATGGTCGTAGAAAGTAGAAGAAATGAAGCAGTTACAGGGTTTTGATCATAGGTGTCTTCGTGGCACCACTGTTCCCGCATACGGTGGAATCACCGCATCAGTAATGTTGAGGGTAGGTGAAGGGTACTAGGCAAGTCAACCGATGGGGTTGTGAACTTTTGTCGACTGAAGAGGTCTGTACACGTGCTGTGCATGTCGGGTCACCGCCTATCTCAACGTGCAATGGTAGGAGTTGGATTTGGTTGAAAGAGGACTCAAAGTCGCCAGGTCAATGCGTGACACCATTGCATGCAGTCTATGACTCTTAGTCTTAGCCGTGCACGGAGGTGTAAACTACCCAACTAGTGTGCACGAAACCATAATTATCAGTGGATGAAGATCGTTGATGATATGGCTGACGATTGGCTACAGTGGCGCAGATGTACTCACTCCCTCACATTTTTTTTAAGTTCGCACATTATTCATCAACTTTCTTTCTAAAATTGTTTCCTCATCCATACATCTGTCTATCCACTTGTTCTTTGCATAACCCCTGTAATACCTGACAACTTGAAACGACGCACTTCTGTGTGAGATTCTACTCTGATTTGTATCAGTCAGTCTGCGTGTGACTTTTCTAGAAAAAAGAATATGATTTTACATGATGTTTAAACTGATTTCGCATCACTTCTTTATCTTTTCAAAGTGATCATTTTGTAATCACTTTGATATCCATGAAATCTGGCAGTTTATTTATACAGGCAAATTTAGTCCTAATAGTTCATTGTACATGTATGAGGATAGTATTTACTTTAGGAATGCACAAGAATGAATCATACCCAACTGATTTTTTACAGTAGCATGTCTTTCAGCTGAATGACAGTTTACCCTGTTTGTGTTGACACTATACAGAGACTGTCCACCCCAAGCAAAATATAAAGCCGCATCATCCTACAAAAACTAAAAAAATGCTCTGAATTCAAAATTACGACCGGAACAGGCTGGCTGGTTTTAGGAAAAACAAATCATATGCCGACCAAATTGCAACGCTAAGCATCGTCACAGAACAGAGCATAGAATGGCAGTCAACTGGATCTTTACCTCAAATTCATCGATTTTGAAAAGGCCTTCGATAACGTCGACCGAGAAGTAAATTGACAGCCTTTTCAACATTACGGTTTTAGCGCCACAAACCTTTACCAACCTCATTCAACAGCTATGTGCTACGCTATATGAGGATACTACATGCCTAGTGATTCACAGTGGAAAGCTTAGTGATACCTTTGAAGTGAAGACAGGAAAAAATACGACAAGGTTGCCTACCATCACTGATGATCTTCCTGATTGTGGTTGACTGGACTGGACTGGATCACACAACAGACAACTGTGAGGAGCGAGATGAGGGGCGTATACTGACTGGACCGATGAAAAGATTTGGGTGTCGCCGATGATAATTCATGTCTAATGTTGAACAGACTCGAAAATCTACAGACGAAAACTAACAAGTTGGCAGAAGTAGCGGGACAGTGAAGGAAGACAGGACTTCAGGTGAACGTAGAGAAGACAGAGGTAATGAAGATACTCAGCCAACAACAGCAAGCACCAATCACCATCAACAGGAGAGAGAAATCTAAAGGAAGCTGCCTGTTTCACCCACCTGCCTAGGCATCATCGTTTCAACTACAGGCGGCACAGGAACAGATGAGGACGTCAAAGCCATGATCGGAAAAGCAAGACAGGCCTTCATTAACCTGAAATCAGTGTGGAGATCTACTCCACTCCACCCTACTGGACTCAGCATAAAGCATGAACAAGATCTGGATTTTCAACACTAATGTCAGTCAAGTCAGTGCTGCCATGTAGATAGTTGAGAGACTTGGCGCGTTACGAGAAGCATTTCCAACAAACTGTAGATATACACCATCAATAGCTGTAGCCTACGCTCACTCGATACTGAAGATCGATCAGATGACCAGAATAATAAGAATTAGCAAGAAGAAACTCACTGTGGCTGGCAACGAACTCAAATGGAAACGACGACTTGGGCGTCCGAGAGTGAAATGCGAGAGATCGTGTGAGAAAGAAATGAAAGCTTATGAGCAGTCGTGCAGCCAGGTTGAAAAGACTGCAGAGAAGAGAGTGAAATGACGACGTGCTATTGAAGCCCTATGTTCCACTAGAAACCAAAAGGACAAGTAATATAAGCATTAAATTAGCACTATGATATCCCATGGTTGTTCTTAACAATTCTTTTGTATTTAAGTAATTTACAGGACAATTATTTTCATTCACTAATTATCACTAGTCTGTGAAAAATGCTTCGTGATTAAGGGGAAAAAATACGAATTTATTTTCTGATCACACTTGTATCCCTCCAGTGTGAACTGGTTACTTGGTGATTTTTCACTGAATGATTTCAAAGGCCACCCTAACATCGATCAAAATATCGAAATGGTCATTTTAATTGTTATTTAGATGGCCTTTAAAGTCGTTCTTTTCCATGATTATAGTTTCTTTTCATTGGCTTACTAAGTAGGTTCAGTTCAGCTAACACAGTGAGAAATTATTATGGAGGGAATAACGTTTAAGGAAAATTTTGTCCTTTCTAGATAACCATGCAGCTTGTAACATCTGGTTTCGATAATCCTGTTTTATTTCATTCCTTAGTTTCTTCGGTCTTAAAGATACTCTATTTATCTAGAATGGATGTTATGTGGTTTGTAATTGACGTATCACGTTCGACTTTGCTGACTTATCAATCAAACCAAGGAATAGTGAATTACAAAACAATAAAACTCAGGATTTAAAAGTTTTATCATCACTTTAGTGTGATTGTGAGGAATAAACTGTGCTCAAAATGTCATCCAGTAAATAAAATTGTTTAACTGTTTGTTTTGCGTCAGAATTAACTTATTTTTAAATGGAAACGGACTCTACCAGAATACTCATATCCTACTCACGCATCGTTGATCAGTACTAAGAATTTATTGGTCTCAATGTAGTTTATTTATCTTTCAAATTGTCAAGAATTCATTCCATTAAACAGTTGAATATACAGTTGACACTGATATACTCACTGAGATTAGATGAATATCACCTTCAATGAACTTTTAAACTTAATTGATGGGTTGAGGATATCCAATAGAAAAAGTTCCATCCACGAAAAGTGAAGATTTATAACCGGTATGCGAACTTCAGAAAGTACCGGTAAATTCCGAAATATGTGTTAAGTGGAGTGAGAAAAAATGCTTATTACTACTCTGTTCTCAGGTCTGTCATACAAAAAACGCATTTTGACTTCATTTACGTCAGCATCATTCACGTAAACACTCAAGAAAGAGGAGACATACTTCGCTTTCTTGTTAGCCTGTACTAAAGATTCTGTTTAGACGAATGTTGAAAATCTGCCTATTACAATTCAGGCCCAGACAAAACTTACACCATTTGTAAAGAGGTTCATCGATAGGAATAGACTACGAGGATCTCCTGTTGATATTTGTAAAAGGTTAACATTTTCTGAAATCTTTCACCTATGATAGTGAAAGTTGTTAATTCAACAGACGTGTAAAACATTCGTTTTCATCAGTAACATCCGAAAAATCTAACCTACTATGTCGTTTTTGTATTCATTTCCAGTCTGAGTCGGTTGCCGTTTAACAAACTCAGGAATATAGACAGATGACGTCAAACAGTCACCATGCTACGCTATGAATCAACTGAAGTCAGGAGGTATAGAACATTAAATTTCATTCCACCGTATTGACGGTGAGAACACTTATAATCGGACCCATAATATGTAAGGTTGAAATGCTCGCTGATAAGGTGAGGAATTGCAATCGGAGAACAACCAGCTGTTCAGTATCCTCTGATTCGTAGTGGTTCTCTTATGAACGTCATTTTGGAGTGACAGTGTTTGTCTAGGGACTACTCAACCTACTAACGAGAGTAATATGCATTGCATGATGTTCAGGAATTTCATCGTCATATGTGACCATACGCAGAGAATTTGGTCGTTTATTAAGAGAAGAAACAATGTAAAGTAATAGGATATCATGCATTTATTGATTATTTTATTGTAAACCATCAATAGGAGTAGTTAAATTTCAATTATATGGTGAGCATGTGTGTGTATATATTTTATCCTATCACAATATAACATCGAATTTAACAGCAAGACTTTCTACGCCACATTCATCGGAACCACGAAGAATTCGGAAAAATCCATCCTCACCCCAATCTTTACCCCAGCTATTCTTGATCTTCCAATATGGTAAATTTGATGCTTCGTCTATTCCGTAGCCGACTACTAATACAGCATGGTTAGTTAGTTCGAATGGGTTGAAAGGTGATTGGCTATTCTGAAATTGTTTAAATGGTTTAATGTGCAAAAAAAAACTAAAAAAATAGAGACTCGTTTAGAATAGCTGCATGTCAGTATTGTGTCTACGATGAGATGGATGAAAAGTGGTGATTGATATGAACTTCATATTATCATATGTTAACTTCCCTTTCCCTGTGCTTATGAAACAGAGTGATAAGTTATAGTCAAGTAAACTGCTGCAGCATTGTTCTCTAGAATATTTTTGTTGTCCACAAGCACAGTGTATTCCAACTTTCATCATTAATGCTGCATAAGTTGATGACGTTTTCACCTTTTTCAGTTGGCTTTCATTTGAATGAGGTCTCAACTTATGTTACTTTAAATTAAAATGCATCTAGTATGTGTTATGAAGACAAATCGACCAGTGTGAAACCTTCATGTGATGGATACGAATATCTGGAAATGCATAACTGACAATGTTGTGTGATCTCGACCACCTGCATTTCTCACCATCTGAATATCGCTTCAGTTGTACAATTTGCTTCATATATTGTTATGAGTCGCCAGGTGTGCTAAATTGCAAGATGAGGTATTTACAACCTTTTAGATGTCAGTCTTCCTGTGTCTACGCAGCCTCATGATACCAGAAAAAGACTGATACTCTCCATTCCAGTTCTTCTTCATGCTCTGAGTTATGTATATATTCAACTGCAATAGATGCTTTTATCTCATCTACCATGTTTTACATAATCGAAATAACTGGTAATAAACAAAAGAAGTTGATTTATGCATAGTAACTGTTTTTCCTTAATAGTTAGTTATTTGGGTCCCATGAGTCATGGAAAAATATGTAAGGGGTCAGTTGAGACCTTTACTGAAGATACCACCAGGAATTGAACCAAGGACCGTTAGATCTCGTGGCAGTCACGCTGTCATTCAAATACTGAGTTGGAGTATTACCTTCATATCACTCGGTCTTCAGAAACCTCCAAACGGAATCACTGTCCAGTGCTCATTAGCGACATGCTTCAAAATGTAATGTCTCTTATTTCTGATAAGAATTCGTGATTTGAGAGATCAAACAAGTCGGATTCGAGAACGAATGCTCAACAAGAGCAATGGATAGTTGTTATCCTCGGTCGCGAATTTACAGAATTAGTGAACTGTAGCCCATACTATTTCAACCCAGTGTCTGAATGGAAACGTGCTCCCTGTGAGACTTCATAGCCATGGGTGCTATCTTTAGTGGTGTCATTCATATATCCTATCCCAGTTTTTCAATCTTTCTTCAACTGAAGTCACTTAGTGGTGAATACTATCTTGAAAGTAACTAGAAATTTCTGACAAAAGACGTATTTACTAAACCTTTGCAATACTTCATTATCTAGTCGATAATCTGGAGTATTAGTTGGTATGTGAACGCCAAATTAGTCACCATACGCAGTACGTCTTTTAAAGAATATCTATTTTGTGATTTGGGCTCTTGCAAATTAACGAAAAATTTAATTTATAGCAGTCAAGTTTGAATATGGATACTCTCAGAATCAATTATTCGCTTTCATTCTCATTTTCAAATGAGGCAAACTCACTTTGATTTTTGTATGTCGATACACACCTGATTGATATGAAAAGAAGTCATTATATACTTCAAATCCGACAGGAAATGGTCCAATCTGAACTAACTCCAACTTCATTACTTCTTCATTTGTTGCGCCATAATAGCCACCAAGATAGCTGTAATCAGTTGTATAAAAACGACTGCAATGCTTGCTTGTTTTACAACTTTCCGCTTGTTTACCAGTGTATGGACTGCACTCCTCTGGAACCATACCGAAATCTTCTGCATATTTCCCAGCAATCAAATAAGGGAAACCTCCGTCGCAACCTAGAAGGAGAAAAAATCAAGCGTTAACAAACATCTGGGGGAATCGTGGGTCTTTGATTTAATTTAGAACTAAATTTGCATGAGTCGGATGTGATTTCAAACTCTCTATCATCCATAAAGGTTTGAGCAGTTAAACACCATTGCGTTTTCCGCTAGTAATAAGAATATGTGTGATAAGTACGTTATGATGTACTGTTCTTGGCCGAGAAAAGAAGAGAGTATTATCACCTGCAGAATACTTTGGCAACAGAAATGAATATTTCCTAGTAATGTAGGAGGTGGGTAAATGATAGTGTAGAAGATGAACGAGCAAGGAAGTAGAGAAAGAATATGATAGAGACCACTTATTGTATTTACCTTGTGAATAAGCGCTACAGTCCAATATATCTTGAGGTGAAAGAATTGGTTGAAGCGTGAAGTTACTGGCTAACCGTATACGAGCCTCTACAGCAGCAGTGGATGCAAATGCATAACAACTTCCACATTGCATCTGATCACGAACAGGTGTCACTGGACTGGGAAGACCTCCAGGTGGGTTTAGCCAATCAAATTCTCTGGGTAAATTCTCGATAGCTGATATCATTGACAGAGAAAGAGAAAGTGTTCACTTGGTCTACAGAAGAGGGGGGATGAAAGAAAAGACTTACATTGTACACCTCCGGTGAAATGTATCAGAATCAGGTAGAAAATATTCAATATCATGCATGAATTCTGATATATTTGATGATATGGCGAACATTGACACGGTACTGTCTACTGAATGACCTTTTGAGTACAACTTATTGCGAATAATTTTATTAAGGTAATCATACTACCTTCAACATCTGAATTTTTATAGTACTATCATCTCATATTCTTTGTTTCCACTAGTAGCTAAATTTTCCACATCTCCAATATAATGTGCTATGTCACTCTCTCATCCTCTTCACTCAACTATAGTGAACTTAATTACAAAATACTTGTACTTGTGCTAAGATTTGATGACTGAAGTACTATCGTCATCATTCATCATAATACTTGATTGATTTTGAAGTGTATTCTACCTAAGTATTATCCCATAGAACTAGTGCAAAGCTCAGATTGAAAATCATTAATTGATTTCTTACTAATTTTCAGAATCATTTAAGCTACTTCAGAGTTATGTATTTTACAGTTGTTGCTTCAAACACGTAATATGTAAGCTTATTTTTAATAATAACAGAATCGAAAGAGTCAAGTACCCGTTGGTAATCCGTGGGTATTAAATATCTCTTTATGCTGTGATTAGTTTTCGACTACCCAATAGATATCATCATCTGTCAACATAGGACCAGGCATTACAGCGTAACGGTCCAAGTTGCCACAACTCATATCACTACATCAAGTAAAAAGGCAGTAAAGTGAAAGATGAAGATAGACAAATTCAGTGAAAAGAAATATAAAGCACCAATGGAGAGAAAGGAAGAATGAGAAGATGGTGAGATTCGGTATAACGTCGTTAAGATGAGGATAATGTGTGTATACATGTGCACCACTGACATTGGTTCTCAGTCATGCCATCCATCACCTAGAGTAGTCAGTCGCCAACCACTCACTTGTTCCTCTTGTCCCACCGACTCCAACTGGCTAGTCGTCTACATCGTCTACATCCACATGGCTCAGACGAACAGTCAGAGACTTCATACATTGATGCCATGTTTTAGTGTGTCACCCCACCACCGGAGTCTTTTTCCAGTGTGAACCTACTTCGACCAACGTTGTGTGACGAGGCAGACGTTGACTAGTCATACGAAACACATGTCTGAGCCAGTCATCTCAGTCGATGAAGGTTCACTGACAGGTGTGTCAACTGACTTACCTCTTCTGTCTAAAAGTCTACACCTGAGGCTGACTTGTGCGTTACTCACGTGGTGGTGGTGGTGGTGGTGACACCATGGAATACGGCGTATACTATGAAGGCGAGGATGGTGGAACACTTGAAGCCTTCTCATGTCTTCCAGCGTGAATGTCCATGTTCTACAGTGATAGAGTAGAAGAGAGCTGACTGGTGTGCATGTGTGTGTGTGTGTGTGTGCAGTAAAGTAATCGCGACCGTTGATTGGCAATCGGATATGACGGTGGTGCTACAGATGGTGTGGGGGGTTGACAAAAGCCAACCGAGCCTTTTGCATGTGTGCAGAAATTTCATCGGCCACTGACCAATGCAGCAGAGTTGATCCTACTTCCCAGATAAGTGAAGTGGTTGACACACTCAACCACTACACTCTCTATTGTTAGCCGTGGTGGGGCACCGTTGTTGACGATTCGTGGAGCAACAATTTACATTTGGGTGGTGAGAAACGCATCCGAAACATTCTGGAATTGCCACTCAAAGTGTTCAGAAGACTCTGAATCTTGTCTGCATCCTCATGTAACAGGACTATGTCATCTGCGTATTCTAGGTCTGACAAAAATTCTCCCACGTTTACGTGAACCTCTGAGTAGTCAGGTGACGAGATGGAGACCTCGATAAGAATATCTATGACAAAAGTGAGTAGGAATGGAGAGAGTGGGCAGCTGTGATGGACATCAGTCGACGTGCACAGCTCACCCAACATCTAACCATAGGCTGTGACACGCCCACAGCAGTTCCGTTAAACAGCCTTCAATAAGGTGATGTACTGACCCGTCACGCCTTTCAGTGAGAGACATTGCCATAAGACGTCTCGATCGATGGAGTCGAATGTCGCCTTCAGGTGGAGAAATACAGTTATTTTCGGGTGTCGGTAAGCATGCTTGTGTTCCAGAACCTGTCACAGTGTGAATATTTGGTGGATACACCTGCAGCCTGGATCTAAAGCCTGCCTGCCTGCCGCCTGCCTGACTGCCTGATTTTCTCGAACTTGCTGTTCCCGAGCTCCACTCAGGCGTCTTTTGATTATAGAACCTAGAATATTAGACACTATGTTCGTCACACTGAATCCTCTGTGATTATCACAAGAGGACTTCTCGCCATTTGTTAAAACTTGGATAATCATTGATTTGGACGAGTCAGATGGGATCGTATTTGATTCCCATATACTGGTTAACACTTTCGTTAACCCGACTAAGCGCACTTTACCACCATCCTTGTATACTTCAGGAGTTAGTCCGCGTGGTCGTGCTTCTTTTCCTCGTTTCAAATTATCTACAGCTTTCTCGACTTCTGCTAGTGTTGCAGAGCTTATCTCAATGTTTCATTTAGGATCTTACTGTATGGCGGGCAACGCAATGGTGGCTGGAGGCCAGTTAAACTGCTCCTCGAAGTGTTTTGCTCACCGTTCCAGTCATCTCCTCTGTGAATGAATCGGAGATCCGTCCTTCTCCGCTATAGCCTCACTAACTGTTGTTGACCTTTTTCCCCAGTCTCCTTAATAAGTCTGAATAACTGTCTACTGTTACCAGTCGCCGCTACCTTTTCCATCTCTTTAGCCCCCGCTGCTCACCACTGTTCGTGGTCGTTGTGTAGACTTTTTCTCAATCTACTTTTTAGTTGCGCTCACTCTTCACTAGAGTCAGAGCCTGCGGGAATGCGTTTGCGTGCATCCATCAGTTTTGAAGAAGCTGCTGATATCTAATGGCTGTTTTTATCCACTATTTTGGAGTGGGCTACGGTCTTCAGCGCTGCTTTGATAGCAGACTGGAGATGCCACCAAGCTTCTTCTGGATGAGTGATAGTGTTCTGTTCCAATAGCTGCCTAGCCAACTCCTCAGTGAACACGGCTTTGGATTTTTCGTTGTCCAGCAGCACTCATAGTGGTTTTGTTGTCAGATCATCCTTACGTCCATTGAGACGCAGGCACATACGCGCTCAAACCACCGCGTGGTCACTACTTAAACACGTACTCCAGTATACATTCACAATTCCTCACATGGTCGAGCTACATACCTTCTCGTTTTACCTTGAAGATGACACCAGTCAGTCCCTGGCTGGGTTGCAATTCACTGGTTAGCTTCCTGCAAACATTGTCAAATCTTGCTGAATTTCAAGCATCATTTAATGGTACCAGTTACTGTCTGTCCTCATCCATGACCTAGTCGACTTCACAAGTTATCATTCTCATAAAACTTTGGTATTTCTGTTTCAAAGTCAGTCATAAGTGTTCACTGACTTTTTGTCAAGCTCACTGACTTGTTAGAACTGATGAGGAATTAGAAGATACGTTTTACTATGAATAGTTGATAGTTGATGATTAAAATGAACTTATGATTTACTTAACATAGGTTGGGAGCTGTAGGATTTACAATAAAATTACGACAGGAAAGTGCTGCCAGTTTCATTTGTATTTACTATTCTGCCCTGTTGTTCACCTCTAATTTGCATTGGTTTTTGCGACAACTAAATTCATAGTTATCGTCTTTCATCTTCCATGTTTTTGGTGTTCGATATAGCTAGAAACAGTTCATGACTATGACTACAAATGTTGCTAAGCACTAAACACTTTTCTTTTATTTGAGTAGAATGAGCATAGTGCGACTGTCCATCTACCCGACAACAACAGATTGATGATTTGATGCTTATATAAGAGAAACCAGTAAACTATTTTTATGGTGAACTGAATCACAATTCATGCGTTTTTCAGCGCATTTTACACAGAAATCTTTATTAATCTGTTATCTCATCTTATTGAGTTGGTTATCTTAGCGTTGAGCAAATGTAATTAGGCTGCAATTTATGAATAATTTGTTTCTGGTTATCAGAACAGTGAGGTCATATCAGTGGATGGTTACATAGTATAGACAAGTGTACGGAGGCTTAACATCTACAACTCCCTCTCATTTGAATAATTAGTTAAAAAGGTTTGCCTGTAAACTGTTCTTCACACCATCAACCTAGTAAGCTACTCGAAATCGAAACTTGATGCAAAGAATACAGTCGATACTGAAGACTAGCTAGTAAGAAAGTTGTAATTTTCTCGTTTATTGTATAACTAATGGATGCTATACTTCCAAAACAGCAATGTTGTTCATTTTATTTCCCATGATGTTGTTCAGTGTATTTATTGTAATGACAGTATACTACAAATAACTTTTGTCTTACCTCCATGAAGTTCATCACATTTAGTCATACTTGATGAATTTTTTCGTAAACCAGCTAGCCTGAAATGGTGTGATGCTGAAATGTGTAGATTACTGGTCAGATAGTGAAAGTGACAAGTTATGGTTTAACTTCAAAATGCAAGTTGGTGAAAGTACCTTTTAAATACAGACATTGAACCACCAGCTAGACGTCTCATCTCCTTCATTGTATAAGTGGAATATTTGGGATAAATTTTCGCTCTCCAAGAACCCTGCTGTGCATTAATTTCATCCACGAAGGCAGGATCAACTTTGTACAAACTATTTTCGTCAAATTCTGGAATAGGTGGTGTGTAGGTTTCTGTGCTGAAGAGTAAACAGTGATGTAATTAAGTATGGAACATAATTTTAGAGGAATGTAATGATATACACGACTGGTTTTTAGGTATTTGATTACCTTGTAGAGGGAGTTTTCTACCAATGCCTCCTAGAGAAATATTGAAATTCAAGAAGCAATGGATATCTGATTTTTCCCATTAGAAATTGCATTTCGTATGGGATCGTTTCCCCCTATTTTATGAATCAGTCAATTTTCAAAGCACCGACTTATTAGTACAGTGACAATATGATCATCACAAAGAAGGTGAGTGTTCTGAATTCACTATCACATGAAGCTGAAGATTCACACTGATGAATACTTAAGAACAATGTAACAATAGTCATCAGCTGCATTTCAGTCAGTTACAGTTTGTGATGAAAACTATCTTCATGAATTTTTGATGTGAATTCCTTTTTTCGAAAATAGCAGAATCGTGATGAGTGAAATTTGTAGGCAGTTTTCGTAGAATTCATCGTAGATGGAGTTTGAAGAAGCGTTTGACCTTACATGAAGACAAATGAACTCTGCAAAAACGAGTGAAGTTATCTGACACATTTCTGTCACTCATAAACAGTCATAAGTATTCTGTATAATTCAAATTCATCACGCTTGAACTTAATATCATTAAGTTTTGTGTCACGATGTAAACAAACAGTTTATATATAGTTCAGTGAGTTAACTCACGCAGAAATGATCATGTAGAACCTCAGAAAAGTTTGCATTACTAAGTAATCAACTTACAAAACAGGTATATCTTAAAATGATCTACGAGTCAGAGTGAGAAATGAAAGGTAACTGGAGAGTAATAGATTGTAAAGACAGTAAGAAAGACACGGAATCATGGCACTTGAATTAGTCAGAGTTCAGTTGGCATTCAGGCTTTGCTTCCACTTCAACTACCTCGTTTATACATTAGGAATTCCTTAGAATGATACCTAGTAGATCTCTTTATTACCGAGAACACTTTTTCCTTCCTCATCACGTAATAATCCATCAGTCTGAATATTTATTTACCACTGTACAGAAGATTTGAGAAGATAAGTTTCGTCATGTTTGAAGCACATCAGCTAGATGGAAACGAGTCTCTTTGAATGCCAGTGTGTTCAGTGAGACTGAAAGCTAATGCAATACGATAGGGGTTGCATTTAAACCAGGTAGAAGTACTGAGCATAAATCACACGAGTTCAATATACCAATAACGATATTCATTCTAGAATTGGCACTGAAATTTCAAACCCAACGGCACAGTTAAGACGACAGCATTTGATGATGAAACTGTAATCAACTGTTCATGAAATTTATAATCAAAATCAGGACGGATAGATTAACTAACAAAGGATGGACAAGAAGTGAATTGGGCTAATCTGTCTGGAAAAGATATAACTGCAATATGATCTTGTTCCCTTAACGAAGAAACTATCAATGGTAGAAGATTCTAGTCACACATTAGGAAACAATAGGCTATATTCCTGATAAATTATGAGATGAGCAGAATGCCAACCTAGTTAAGACGATTGCCAGAATGAAAAAGACTTAACAATTAATTTCTTCCATAGCATTAGATGCTTAACATGAAGAATACAGAGACGTGAAGTATATTTGACACCAGGAATCTATCACCGTAAAGGCTCACTTATCGAGTCACTACAATTAACTGTTACTCCATGGATAGTAGTACCAATAATCTAAGCCAAAGATTTCTGGATGAAAATTAACTACGACACTGATTGTGATGACAATGGTTAGTCAATACCACATCTCATCACCAGTTCACTTCGAACATTTCATCCGTAATATTCGACGATATGCCAACACTGGAAGATTATTTCGCTTGTACAAATTAGTCAGTACAAATGATCAAAATTTAGAATAAGATGATAGCCAGCTTGATTTCTCCATAGTTAAACAGCATAGTATAGAATGATAAGAAACACTCACCTTTCTAGTGCATCAATTTTCATGGCAGTAAAACAGTACCATTGATGAATCAGTGTATCATGTGTCAACATAGGCATTGACTTGGAACAGTTGTAACTTTTTTTAGATCCATAGGCGAACATGACCAAGAACTTTCTATGTCTGATTGTAATCTCAAATCCCTTTTTCCAATCAATTTTCAGTATCCGTCTACTGTAAACTTTGACTTACTTGATTATATATCATAGTCCATTTTCCTGTATTACCATAGGAATCGGTGACAATATCCGGATATTGTAAATGCATAACTACAGCTGTTTTGATTTTGACTTTTAAAGAAGGCATTTATTTAAATTATCAAAATGATGAAACAGCTTACATTTACTGTAACATTTTTTGTGATAATCTCCTAAGTGAAATACCCAGTGACCAACTGCATCGTTGTAGGTACAGTTGGCTGGAGTATCAGCATGAATCTCTCCACATAGCAATAACAATAATAACAATAATGATTTGACTATTGAAAGGTTGAAGGTAGTTGTATAGGGGAGCATCTGTGTCGGTTAGTTATCTTTGAAGATGGATTCCTGCTAATTAGAGAGGGGATGATGTAATAAGGAAATACTGTGGTTAAAAACGTTTCCAATGGTTTGTATAAATAAATAAAGATAAATGTTAGTGATCAGTGTTCATTCTACTTTGACAGCTTCTGAAATGAATTATTCTCTCAGCATCTTCAAGTGTCAATATGAATGATTTTCTTTTTGAGTAGCGCACACTACAATAATTGAGGTAGCAATGGACTGTTGCTTTTCCCATGTAAAGTTGTGAGTACGTGTTGTTTCAGCATCTGTTGCGTAAGTGATTTATCCCCTAAGTGGAGTCCAGTCCAAGTACAGTAGCCAGATTAACAGCAGACATCTCAGGTGGTATGAACCATATGAATTGGCAGTGTAATAATGTATTATCGTTTGCAACGGTTTTAATATTCCACCGAGTTTTAGAAATGAACAGAAAAATGAAATCCACATAAGGCATTACAATATTGCATAGTCGTTGCTATTACCACAATTCATATCACCACATCAAGCCAGAAGGCAGTGAAAAGTGGTCAAAATTCGTAGGAAAAGAGGAAAGGGTGAAAGCAGAATACTGAATTCAGCATGAGAATTCAGATGAGGATAATATGTGAATACATCTGCACCACTGAGATTGTTTCTAAAATATGCCAACTACAGTCTAAAACCGCTGGTTTTCGTTGTCACGTGGAGCCAACTGCCTAGTCTGTATTTCGTTACACAGCTCAGACCGTCTGTCAACGACTGTATGGACTCAAGTTATGTTTTAGTCTGGCCACCTGTAACACTTTGTCCTGCTAATCCTATCTCAACCAACACTGTGCAACGAGGCAGATGGTGACTAGACATGAGGAACACATGTCAGTATCTGTGGGCACTTGAGATTCTGAAGATTCAAAATCTCATCAACTGCTAGCTGAGGATAATAATAAGGTGGAAATCAAAGGAATCAGACAATTTTCTGATGACAGCTTTCAAAGGATCAGTCATTATTTTAGGGGAATTTGTAGTTTAGATCTATAATTAGGAGAATCATTCAAAGGATAACAGTAATAAATCATGAAATGTAATCCATTACTAGGTGATTGAATACTAACCAATGTCATATCGTCGAGCAACAGACTGTAAATTTTCGATAATCAAGTGCTTTACTATATTATCACTCATTACCAAGAAGCAAATGAAATTGTGAGAGATTCAGACCAGCCTACTTCATTGGTGTAGTCCATAGGATTACCAATGAGCTTTACAGGAGACAAATGAACAACTGAATAAGATAAATTGATCTAGTTTAGATTTGCTGTACCGACTAGTCCAAAAACACATAAGAGATTTATATCATGCAAGACTACTGACACATCATTTATAGTCACTTAAAATAACAAGTGTCAGTCAACGGTTTTATCATTCTTACACCTGCCCTTGATACTAAGAATATTTTTAACTGCAAAAATCCAGTCACAACTTCTGCTTCTATTAGTTAACAACAAGATATTCATCTCAAATATGTCAAAATACCAATTCATTAAATAAACTGAAACTGAATTTTACTCACCACAGTGTCTAACAGTTTAAAATACAGAGAGCAAGTACATTTAAAGAAGGTAACTGAGAAAACTTTGTTTCAATCAACTAAGACACATATATACAGAGAGAGAGAGAGAGACAATGTTTTCTGATAGGATAGACAATAAAGCCATCTTGACTGAGGGTGGTTAAATCATTGTTGCACTAATTGTACTTTGGACAGCATCAAAAATTGTGAATACGATTGTTTTTTTAACTAAATTCTCTAACATAGGTTTGTAGTGGGCGTTGCTGATGCATATAAGTAGTTTATGATGAGAGGGTGATAGAAATCATAGGCAATTACCAGCAATGAGTGAGGATTCTGCCCAGAGAAACGCAAGAGATAATGTGGGCGTGTTCAGAGCAAATCAAGAGAGAGGCAGAAAAGGAAATGAACCACATTATGCAAATGACTGTCTTAGTCCAAGGTGTACAATATTTGATAACTAGTGTACAAAATGTCGTTCATTCGTCTATTCTCTTCTCATCTCATTTCCTTCAGGAATATTGTTAAGCTGATAATCATCTTTAGAAACAAGGAGAATGTTAGAAGCTGGTGGAAGATGTAAGAACCAGCAGTCACAACCGTTTTTTTATTTGTAAATTTCATCCCACCATTATTTTACAAATCATGGGACATTTCTGAAACTAACACCCTAACTACTTTTTAGGCTTTATGCATTGATGATTTCAGTGGTAGGTGGAAACATGTTTCTAATCTGAATGTTTGATTATTTAGTGGATACGATTTTTGTGTTGTTCATTCCCGACAAGTCTTCGTAATTCCTAAGGAATACAGATTACCTGGTTCATATTTAGTTTGTTAGATAGTGTTCGGTCAGGAAATGGAGGCGAAGATGTGGGAAGGAGTATATTTTTGAATGATGCATTGAGAATATGAAGGCAGCAATCATTCACTTCACAATGACGAAGGTTTACTAGTATACCTTATGACAGAACCAATGTTGAACGACTACATGAACATAGAACCCGTCAGTCAATACTACACATAAGTCCAAATTGTGGCACCTCACATCAGCACATCAGGATTTGACGGTTCAAGAAGAAGGAGAGGGAACACTAGAAAAATTTACATTAGATAGAGTATGGACAGAATAATCCCCTTCGTAGTATACAAATATACAAGACAGTATCAGTGTTCACAAATCAAATACCAAGTCGGAAATGATTTCACTTATAAAGAAGGAACTTGAATAGGATGGGTTATCTTAACTAATCACCCAAGTATACAGGATGTATGCATTGAAGTAGTAATGCTAGTCAAGACTGGAGTTCAGGTATGACTTTAAAGGCCACCCTAGCAACTAATGAGTTAGCCAATTACATTCCTTTGTTTTATGGAAAGTATATTTTCAGGCGAAATACCGAAGAATGACTGATCATTTCAGTAGTTGTCAGGGTGGCCTTTAAAGTCACTCGAATGCAGCTGGTTGTGACAAACTCGTGTAATCGAAACGATATAAACAGAAGGCTGGCTGGTGAGGTGACTCTGTTCAAGACAATGCATGTGATGACTGAAATGCATACAATTTTCGATGTAATAACCTGTTAGAATAATACAGTGCAAAAAGATAAGTCATGACTGTGTTGCCAAAAATGTATTTGTAAACCAATCACATGAAGCGAAGAAAGTGACACAAACACAAATAAATATAAAAATGTACAGTGCTTAGAGTTTGTTGGCCTACTGTCGAAAGTGTTGAAATTAATTTTAAACAGAACTGTCATCCGGTTGTCAATTCAGGTTCCTGAACACTCCTTATTTTGCGAAAATAAGACGAAGTGTTTGATGATCAGTATAAAAATGAACTGAACTTCATGGAGGAATGTAATTTGGCTGTAGATAGGCTGTGTTCTACCCATCTATTCTTTGTAGCATTTCACTGCTTTCCACTTTGTCTTCTGAAACACCAACTGATGTTTCACATGTTTTCTGCACTGGAGGTGGCTTCAGTCTGTTGTTGGGTGATTTATGCAACAATAAACTTGTAGTTATTGTAGTCGGATTTGATTTTACTCTGTTTGTACATATTACTTGTTGTCACCTCGTTTTCGGTTGTCTTCACTGCTGTCATCAAAAACTAGAGTATGATGTTCACAGGTATTTAAAGACAAAGTCATCTCTGATAAAACATAGGAGTAAAATCCATTAACTGATGAGTTATTCAGACATGATGACATCTGCATGTTGGAGATGTGTACTTGTGTAGTCATGCATTTATCCAGAGACATTTGTGTCGTTATACCGGCTGAAAATATCATCGGCAGTTTCCAGCTTCTTTGATAATTTAGACAATAGGTACTACAGGTCGCAACAGTAACTGCATTAGTCACCACATGGATACAGATCGAATGTTGAGTAACACTCTGTGTTGATCTAAGCTTATATATATTCTGCAGATATCATCGCACTCCATTTTCCCCGTAGATTTATGCATGTAAATCTCGGGTAAAATCAGTGATTGGAGTCAGCAGTACGTGGATGTCACGGTGCATTTCGGTGATTCTGTTCCGTACAGTTATAGAATAGAGTGTGTATGCACTTTTAAAAGAAAAACACGTTCATGTCTTCTTCCAGAATAATACCTTTCAATTCTTAGCCTGACAGTAATGCTGTATGCATACTGTCGATTGAGTGGCTTTCAACAGAGAGGCGCAAGAAATATTATGACACACTCTTCGATGCATCTTCGCAAGTAAGTGAGTTAACCTAACACCACAAAATCTATATCAGTGGCTGAAAAAGTCTGAAAGTCTGGTGAGCTACTGGCACTATCGTTCAGCTCTCTCGTACATTCTTCCAGTTGTCTGTAACATCAACATCAGTGGAAGATGAATGTAACCTACAAAAACACTTCTTTATGGATGGTATCGATCAAAGATGTCACTATTCCTGGAATGTTGGTGAAATAATAGTGACTCTTGCTCATATGTCCAATAAGAACACCACAACAGTGGGTTTGTTCCATCGGACAAAATTGATCTCCATTTACTTGGTCTCTTTTCCTGATAAGCTAATTTTGCAAATGAAATGGCTGTAGGCAACTGCTGACTTGCAAACCATATCTCTTGTGATAATAGCAAACTCATCTGTCTCGAAATCTGCCTACTACATCCATCCATGTGAATCAACACAAGACCAGACAGTACAGCGTAACGGTCCAAGTTGCCACAACTCATATCACTACATCAAGTAAAAAGGCAGTAAAGTGAAAGATGAAGATAGACAAATTCAGTGAAAAGAAATATAAAGCACCAATGGAGAGAAAGGAAGAATGAGAAGATGGTGAGATTCGGTATAACGTCGTTAACATGAAGATAATGTGTGTATACATGTGCACCACTGACATTGGTTCTCAGTCATGCCATCCATCACCTAGAGTAGT